CCCGCTATCACATTGCCGAGAGGGTCATTTGCTTTAAGAGTCATTTGTACCTGATTGATCAACACAAACAGAATTAGTAAACAAGAAGGAAAGAGAAGCAAAACACAAAACTAACTAAACAGATAGTCAACACCGTAAACTCCCCGGCAACGGCGCCAAAAAGTGATCGCTGCCAACTCGATGCTACACTAAGGTAGGAAGAGCGTGTCGCAATAGCTTTTACCCGATATGAGGGTCGGGATCGATTTTCTCAGGGAGCTAGTAGTGGAGTTGGATTGTCCGTCTAGCATAGAGATGTGTTTGTACTCCTAATGTCACTTCAAATATTTTTGGGTTTTTGAATTGTAACTATTTTTATAAAACTATTGATTAACACTAAATTATGCTACGAGAATATTGCTAAGTTGTATCTAATAGGAAGAAGGGCACTAGGGTCATGACATTATCTAGGTGGCTAATTGACGGGTAGATGTTACTAAGGTTCGATTGACATAATTGGTGCTTATGCTATAACCGTTGCACAATTTTACCCACTCTCATACCTCTCGGTAGAGAAAGTGACTTTGCCCAATTGACTCTCTCGAGACCAAATGGGTAGGCAAATTAGACCAAACAATTAGGGTTCAAGTAGGGTAATTACTCTCTCGAGGTTTAACCCGTTAATTGGAACTATCATTTCTCATGAGTCCATCCCAATTCCTTGTTGTGTCAATTTTGGGGTCATAGACTCTCTTTCTCAAGAAGAATTAAACCCACAAAGTTTGAATCAGTGTTTGCAGCCACCAATTCTAGATTAAAACATAAAATCAACCCAAATAGCAAACACCCATAGTCAATCTAACATTAGATGGCAACACCCATTAATTACCCACACTAGGGTTGAGCCACAACCCTAGCTAATGGGTTTAGCTACTCATGCTTGAAGAATAAAATGCAGAAATAGATGAAGAACTAAGCATATTAATTAATTGCTAAAATTAAAATACAAGAATCTATTGTAAATATAAAGCAAAAGTGCCAAAAATGGCTACAAAATTCGTTCTCACGAGCGCATCCCTTGTCTGATCTCTCTCCTCCCTAAAAAATGGTAAAATGTTCTATTTATACTAGGCTGGAAAAACTGGACAAAAATACCCCTGTGGGGTCAGTGCGGGCCGCATTAAATGGACCGGGGCCGCACTGGGCTCACATCTACTTCTCTGAACTTGGACTCCGCGGACCGCGTAGAATGGACCACGACCACGGAGGGAGCTAGCGCTGTCCGAGCAATCACGACCGCGGACCGCATGGCACTAGCTTTGCAGACTTTCATCTCTCTGAATCTCATGACCGCGGACCGCACAAAAGAGTAGTGCGGCCGCAGAGCATTCACCGCAGACCGCGAGACGTGTACCGCGGTCGCGTTTCTTCTAGCCTGATTCACCAACTCTCTGAACTACCTAGGGCGGCCGCATTCCACTTTGCGCGGTCCGCACTAGGCCTTTTTTTCTTAAATTTCTTGGTCTTTGATACTTGAGCATGTTTCACTCCTTTGAGCCGATCTTTGACATTTCGTCACGTTGTCGATCAAACCTGCAATCATGCACAACTTGTGAACCTTTTAGGACTATTTTGTAACAATATATGATCAAAGCATAGGCAAGTAGGGGCATAAAACATGTTAAAATCCTAACTTATCATTAAGCCAAGTGGCAAGCTAATAAATGTCAATAGTATATGGTAACTTTATTCTATATTTGACTATTTTAGTTAAATACAAATATAGATAAAGTTCTAAAATTCGAATTTAAATTAAAAATAAAATTTATCTTTTTTATCATGTTATCATACTTAATTCGGTTAATGATCATATGCAATCATGTTAGGAACTTTTTTATAATTATTTAAATACTACTTCGCCTCTAACAAAAAAAAACTACTCCATATAACTATAAAACTCTTTCATATTTAAAATCCTATAAGTATAGTTCTTTGAAACACTGTAGCTAGATTTGAATAAAATGAAATTCTTTTAAAATAAATGTAATATGTATGGTACACGTCTATGCTTATCTAAATAATAAAAAAGAGTTTACAAAAACCAAATAAAAGTTTACTTACATATATAATAAAGTAAACATACATGCTGGAGAAAGAAACATCACAAAATCAGTCAATATTAAAAAAAAGTTGTTTCTTTTTTCTTCTTGAAGAATATTTGTTTGAAGATCAATTTGCATAAATGGACATCAAACAAATAACAAAACTTTGGCCATACAATTGCTATCATTAATTTCAATTTAGCACATTCAAGAAATTGAAGGGTATTAGCTGAAACCCCTTCATTTAGCTGTAGTCAAGCCAATATTGCAAGGGTATAATATTTTTTTCGTTGAAGAATATTAGTTTTGAATCATTAGATTATGTGAAAGGTTTTTTTTTTCAAACTCAACAAAAGATAAATTAGTTTCTAATTGATAGTTTCTATAGCGACTTTTAAGTGTAATAAAGAGTATATATAAAGAAAAAATTGGTATGACATGAAATATTTTTTTTAAATGTAAATAAATTATTTCGAAAAAACTCTTTACTTTTTTTTTAATTCAAAGATAATAAAAAGATAAGATATTTTTGAACATTAGTAGAGAGTTTTAAAATTATTATAATAGAAGTTATGTAATGGATAAACTCAAAAATATCGAAATCTTATGGAATATTTACATAATATTCGGCCATATTTATTGTTTACGTTTTATAGCTAATATAAATAGATGATATACCGATAACACACGATTATATACATAGTATATATGGATTATATATAAATTACACATCATTCGATTTTTTAATTTAAGTGGTCGGTTGAACACCTATTTAGGCTGATTAGATAAAGCCAAAAGAAAAAATATCAAATAATTTCAACCAAAGACTAAAAATATAATTAAAGTTCATATGTAGATAATTTTTATTAAAACTCATCCTTTTTATAGTGAAATAAATTAATTTTTTGTAACAAAAGAAGTAATGACATAAAAAAAATAAGATAAAAGAAAATAAATATTGAAAAAAGGTTAGAAATATCTAAAAACGAGAAATAAAAGAGGACAACAAATTCTTCTTATGTTTCATCTTTGTTGAGTATAAAAAAATTGAAAGTTAATCTCTTCGATTTTAAATTATTTTTTTTTCGACTCAAATACATAGATTATAAGATAAGGATATCTTCGAATATTTTTTTTAATTTACATTATGTGTCGTTTTAAAAAAATTATTATTACTAATAAACTGATATGATATTTAAATTTGAATTGGGATGAAATTTGAGTAGTTTGCATTGAGGTTAAGCCAAATATGGTGTCGAAAAATAAACTATTTGACAATTTTAAGACAATATATGCAATGTTTTATAATAATAATCAACTAATTTAACATTTAATGATTCAAAGAACAAAACTTTTGTATATATAGGGTATTAAAAATCCAAATTTTGGGGCTAGAGATATTGATAAACTTAAAGTGGAGCCATACTGAAATAAATCCGGCCAAAGAATCATTTAAATTTTTAAATAGCCGATTAAAGTGAATTTTAAAGTAAGGATAATATCTTCACTTGCATAATTATAAAGATAATCATTATTATATAATATATATAAAGTTTTAGAAATTGAAATTTCAAATAGAAATACTTCTTGAAAGATAAAATCATACCAAATAAGAGTTCAAGTCGTAGTATAAGAGTCACATCGTAATCAAAGGATCGTTTATATCGTATCAACCTTTGTGCTTTGCCATAAATATGAGTTATTATTTCACTTTGTGGTTATTTTTAGGTTCCAACGACACCTATGCGAATAGTACAAAAATAAAATTATCAGTATGAGAATTGAGAAAATGTTAGTCTTTTTTCATGTAGTGTTTCTTAATTAATATCTGACGATTATCTATAATTATTTAGAAGGTTTAAATGTTAAGGTTATTTACATATAATTCAAATAACTCAGATATTTAACATGATTAATGTCAAATATCAAAATGGAGTAAAAAAATTCACTAGCTAAAGAATTTTTTATATTTTTAGATAGCCAACTAAAATGAATTCTGGATTAAGAATAATATTTTCAATTACATTATTATAAAAATAATTATTATTGAAAAATAATATTTTAGAAACTGAAATTTTAAGAAAGGAATATTTTTTAAGAGATATCAACATACCAAATAAGAGTTCAAGTAGTAGTAAAAGAGTTAAGTCTTATCCAAAGAGTCATTCATTGTCTCAACATTTGATTGTTTTGCCATAAATATGAGTTATTATTTTGCTTCCTGACTATTTTTATGATCCAATGACACCGATAAGAATGGTATCAAAAAAGAAAAATAGAAGAAATAGTTAATTTTTTTTCATATAGTTAATATCCAATGATTATCTATATTTACCGAGACAGTGTAAATTTTAAGATTATTTACATACAATCCAAATAACTTAAATATTTGACATGATTAGTGTCCGCGCATCCGCGAAGGTACTAATACTAGTAACAATATATAAAGATGTAACCCGAATGAATTAATATATTCGTGAAGACAATTATTATATTTATAAAAAAATTACCGAAGGCCTGATCCCCTCCTCAAGAATACAAGGCAATAATTCTATAATAAATTCAGATACCTTATATTAGTATTACAATAAATAAATATATTAAAAAATAATTAACCTATATATACACTAATGGTTGTAAGAACTTTTACATTAGTAGTGTATGTTCATAAGTCAACTACGTAATTTGCCTTATATTTTATTTTACTAATCCACTAATTTATCAATAATTGTAAGAACTTTTATACCATCAATATATGTTATTCTTAACCGGTTATAATATGCTCTGTGCCTCATATTTTAATTTAACAAATTCATCGATTTATAAATGTTACAGGTAGTTATTGTTTAAGTAGTTTGATAATGTAAAAATATATAATATAAATCCATAAAATAAATATTTGACATTCCAAATTTAATTTACAAATTAGTCAGCTCCAATTAAATAAACCCTAAACCCTTCCCGTACTTGCGTTGAAGTTCACTCTTCCGGCGGAGAACATGGCGGAGAAGGACTTGGATTTCGACGGCGCAAGTAAAGCTCCGACTAGGCCATCACGTTTTGCTCCCAAAAGCTCTAAACTGAAGCCCCAACCCCAACCAGTAACCAAACCCCAACCTGAGACACCGTTATCATCTTCTGATCCTCCTATTCCGACTAAAAAGGAAGAATTAGTGTCAAAACCCTCAGTAAAAGATCATCCAGACGAAAATGGAGCAGCAATGGGTAAAGATGACGTTCCATTGTATGAAAATACTACGGGAGACGACGTGGCAGAAGAAGAACAAGTCGCCATGGATACTGATAGAGTTGAAGATGAAGTTGTTCATGAAATTGATGTGTTTTTTACCCCTTCCTCTGATCCTAACTCTCAGGTATATTTATTTGTTATTTAATTAGCTGGTTTATTTGTTGAATTTGGAAAATATTCTATTTGCTAAGTATTAATTTCTCTTTTTTCGTCAGCTATATGTGTTCCAATATCCGTTGAGGCCCGTATGGCGTCCCTATGAATTGGAGGAATGATAGTCAAGAGGTGAGTCACAAAAATTGCTTTTGGTGTTTCTTATGCAAAATAAATCAGTAGTATCAATCATTCGGAACCGAAATATTGTTTTTTGGACTCAAAACACTTTTTTAAGTTTAAAAAAAAAAAGTTACAAAAATACCGCGTTTTCTACATTTTTTGCAAAAACCTACTAGTACTATAGTAAGTACCCGAGACCGGAACCTAAATAATGTGTGTTTGGACTCAAAACACACAAATAAGTGTATTAAAAAAATGACATTTCTATATATAGCGTGCAACAACAACACGCTATATATTAACGGTAACGTCTGCTGTTAAGTATAGCGTGTTGTTGTTACACGCTATATGTATAACGCACAAACAGAAAACGATATCCTCTGATTTTGGCCCCACCAATAAGTGAACTAACAATCACAATTATTTCAATGTATATCGTGTGTTTAGAAAACGCTATATATCCAAAATTTTCTACCTCCCGGACTAGCCATTTCCTATATAAAGTGGTCAGAGTATTTGGAAAAATCGTTCACATACAATTCTAATTCTCTTCAATATTTTCTTGTTGTTAAACTCTGAAGCATTTTTTTCGCAATGTCTGAAGAGCGTAGAATAAGAGTTTCATTATATTAGGGGGGTGAGGTTGTGACGGAGAATAACTCTGTGAGGTATTGTTTATCTCCACCGGGTCATGCTAAATTACCACTTACACTAGAGTACGATAAATTGATATCGTTGTTATGCAAAAAAATGGGAAAGAGGAAACGTTCAATGATACTTAAAGTAATTGGAAGATATCCGTATTCCGTCACTCCGCAAGGGGCTGCTTTTTACTCGGAGTTAAACATCTACGATGATGAAACTTTGAGGGATTTTCTGAGGACTCCGGATGAATACCGGGAATATCTTGTAATAAATATGTTGGATATGTACGTCAAGGTCGAAGATGTTCCAAACAATGAGGTGGCCGGACATGTTCCGGATAACCCCCAGTCATCGGCTGGCTATTCTGGAGGAGTTTTTGCCGGACATGTTCCTGATGAAAGAGTTTTTCTTGATTTAAACTTATCCCCGCCTGCTTTACATAATTCACAAGACGAGTGGTAAGCTTCAATTTTCCTTTGTGGTACGATGTACAATTTTGTTGTATTCAATTTGTATTAACGCTCATATATTTAACAGGGGGTACAAGCCGGATATGAGTTTTATAAATAATGAACCCGGGCATAGTTTTGGTGTGTTGGATCAAAGTGATCCATCCGGGAGCTATCACCTACATGAAAATGTCCATCATGGAATTTTATCACATTGAAGTGATACGGCTATATGAAAAGTATTTTGTAAATTTAGCATCTTATTAATTTGTTGATTGTGCAGTGAAAACGAGCAAGTTGAAGCAAATGTACTCACTCAATTGCCCGAAGACGACGTATTAAATCGGGATCTGGCAAATGCACAGAGTGAGGAAGAGAACAGTGATTACGACAACAATGCTGATGAATTTGGAGACGATACACCCTTTCATCGTGAGGATGGTGACGAGGAGGATGAGAAGGAAGGACCTGATTTGACGAGAGAGTATGCTTCACCCCCCAGACGAAGAGTGCATGAGTCCCAAGTGCCCTTTCATTCAAGGGAGGTTCCTTACCTTGATAACTTGCCAAACATGCCGGATGTGGAAGCTCTAACAAGGGATTTTGATGAAATTCGGACAGCAATGTGAGATGAGTCTAGACCAACGGTGCTGGCAAAGGGCATGCTTTTTCCTGATAAAGCGCGCCTAAGCAGGGCTTGTAAAATGCACAACGTAAAAGAGTGTCGTGAGATGACGGTATGGGAGTCAAGTCCGGTTGTATACAAGGTTGTTTGTCGCAGGTGGTTTTGGCTATGTCATTGGATGTTGCGTGCGATGAAGAAGAAGACAGGCCTGTGGAAAGTGGGTAAATACATTCCCACCCGCACATGCGAAATGGACACATTCAACGGGAATCATTTCAACTTGGATATTGATTTGATTTTTCTTGTTCTTATTCCACACATCGAAGCAACCATAAGGTATAAAATCAAAGAGTGCATTACAGCAGTCCACCAGGAACATGGTCATACAATTACTAAAAGAAAGGCATATCTCGGGCGGAAAAGAGCGTTTGAAATAGTCTATGGTAACTGGGATAAGTCATTTGCAGATCTCCCTAGGTACAGTTTAACCCCGGGACGGTTGTTGAATGGAAGCTTGAGCGTATTCCAGGTAAACCAGAATATATGTTCAATTACATTTTCTGGGCGTTTAAACCAGCAGTTGATGGTTTTTCGCATTGTCGGCCCTTAATATCCATAGACGGCACTCATGTCTATGGAAAGTACGATATCAAACTGTTGATAGCCGTGGCAGTAGATGCTAATGGACAGATATTTCCTCTAGCTTTTGCTATTTGTGCCAATGAAAGCCAAGAGACGTGGACGCTGTTTTTGAACCACTTGAAAGAGCATGTTGTGAAACAACGTTCCGGTGTTTGTCTAATATCCGATCGGCACGGTGGTATCTTAAGTTCTGTGGAGAACTTGCCTACATGGCAAGAACTTTATGCCTATCATCGTTATTGTGTTAGGCACTTTAAAGTTAATTTTTAGAAGGCATATACCAACAAGGATCTCCATGATTTGATGTGGATGGCAGCAACAGACCACCAACAGCATAAATTCCGGATGCACTTGGAATATATCAGGCAAGAAGACGGGGCAGCCTATCGTTGGTTAATGCGACATGACCCTGAAAAGTGGACGTTGCATGCGGATGGTTGCAGACGATGGAGAACTCTGACTACAAATGTGTTAGAGTCTTTCAACGAGTTATTGAAGTCTGCAAGAGGATTGCGTGTCACAACCATGGTGCGGTTGTCGTTCAAGCAGATGGCGGAGAGGTTTGTTGAAAGGTCTGCAGATGCAATATCATTGATGGAAAAGGGTGTTGAATTTATGCCAGTGCCTATGAAAAGATTTGAGAAATATAG